TGTAGAATTACCAGCCAGTTTCAGTAAAGGCAATAATGTCTTGGCTAATAGCACATCACAAACTATCCAAGATTTATTAATAATGGTTCTGACATTAAAGAGTACTATCATCAAATTACAATAATCTAATCTTATAGATGCACTGTGTAATGGATCCACAGCAAGTTAGGCAGAGTTCCCAGACTGCTAAGCATCTCCTCTTAACTAACCTCATCTATCAATGCCTCTCAACAATATTCCTATATATGTCCCTGGAGAAAAACTTGTAACCAAAACCAGGCAGACTACACCAACTTTCTAATGTGATATGACCCATTTTGTTAATGGACTTTATATTTCACTTCCAAAGTGCAAATGTGGGTTATTAGTTTCCATGCAAATTATTTAAAATGACAGCAATATCTGTGTTTCTAAGCAAGGCATCCTGAAAGTGCTCAAGTATTGCTCATTGGGCCAGTCAAATCCTAGAGGTTCTGAAATCTTACCCTGAAGTCAACAGACACTGCAGGCATTCAGCACCTCTCAGGATCCTGTCCAAACAAACTGAAAATAATCAGTTTAGTTATAAAGAGTGGATCTGTGCCAGTGTGGGAATCCATGGAAGAGATTGGAAAAGAATATCTTACACCTGCTTTAATAGAGTTTTATCCATCAATTGAGTTCAGCTGCCACCCTTCTGTTAACAATTCACTTTATTGCTCCTCTGAGCATGGTGTGGGAACTATGCGTTCATTGGGCCTTTGCCTAAAAATGACTTTCCATGCTGGTTTCTACTGACTTCAGTGGAAGGTAAAGCTCTCAGCATCTCTAGGATTGGCCCAACAAGTAAATGAGTAACAATAAGTAAGTAAGAAGTGCTTATTCTCTTACAGCCCTCAGAATGCTGCACTTAGCAAAACAGATAGGCTTGCTTTCATAATTAACAGTGCCATGTGGATGAAAAGGGCTATTTTGGAGTTGGTTGGAGATGGCATTTTCCATTTTATTTCTTTATGATCCTGGTTCATAATTAATTTAGCCAAGCGTCTGTTTTCTCTTAATTGTTACTTGGGATATTTGTATTTTTTAATTAACTGGGGGGTTTCACAATACATCCAGAGGCTTGAGAAATGGGCTATGGGCCATTTTAGAGGAATGGAAATTAAGGAACAAATAAATTAAGTATTTTAAAATTAAATATATTATTTAAATATCACACAATAAGCCTTTTCCAATTGCTAAACCATTAGAATGAAAAATGGCTTACAGTCCCTAACAATTTGACCCTAGTTAGGATAACAAATGACATCACTTTCAGCCATGCATAGATGACCGCTGAAAGAATGCAAATAATATTATTCTCGTATATATATTTCACAATTTGTTCAAAAAAGGTTATTTTATCACCTTTTATTATGCGGAGCAAAATCTGTTCTGTATTCCTTTAAAAATACCAAATAACAGCATGAAGCAAAATGCAGGACTATGTAGCACTTTAGTCCTACATAGTCCTGCATTTTGCTTCAGCTACACCAGACTAACACAGCTACATTTCTATTACTAAATAACAGCATCACTCTCTTGACATATTCTTGTTACACAGACTCCAAGAAGCAGTGAAGGCTAAGATGATTTGTATGAGATACTCAATCAAATGTCTTTGCACAATAAAAATGAAATGATTAATGAAAGACGCAACTGATATTGAAGGAAGCATCCTATATAGAGGATCTGTATTCACAAATAGCAATGTTATTTAGGATACAGTGAAATGCTTTTTGCAGAAGAGAGCTGAGGCTCAGAGATGAGTCTTATTTATAAGTGGTATATAACATTTGTAAGTGGGGCTGTTAATATTCTGCTCCCTCTCAGTGTCTATAAAAGGGGGATGAACATCAAGAAAAACTGGGAAAAATCTTTGTTTTCACTCTGCTAATTTTTGGCATATGTAGTGGGTTATGTTTTTGTTTTTTTGAGGGAGAGAGAGAGAGAGAGCGAGAAGAAAAAAAAATAGGCTAAAAATCTCAGAGTTGAAGATGACTTTCAAGAGATTTGAGCCTTTTAAACAAAAACATTGAGATTTTTTTTCTGAGCAGGAGCAGCACATCCCATACACAATATCAATTTAAATGGTCCAAGAAGCCTAAAGAAACTTGCGTCAAAGAACATACACAATCCTACATTACACAGTAATTCCTTTTAGAAAAGGGAACTTTGGATTTTTCACCCATCTGCATCAGTACATCCTGCATATATAAACTGCAGCTCCGGAATGTCAGCAAAAGTACTCAGAACTGAAATATAAGAATTCTATCATTCTCGCCTTGCTTATTTATAGGGCTTAATCCAACATATTAATGATCTACCACAGACCAGCAATTGATCTTGCGCCATATTAGTTAAATCTACAATATGTTAAATACATAAGAGAGCCTAATTTCATCACACCTAAGAGGAGTGGATCACATTCCATGTTAGCAAGTGGTCAGCACTTATATACTATCATGACAGATCCTATTAGAAATACCTTGGGTAAATTATGCAGACCGTATTGGTGTGTTTTCTGGACCAAATGTTAGCAGTTAGAACATGCAGTTAGATCATACAGTAATAAGTCTAATTTCAGTTCCATCACTGTAATTGCAGTGAAATCCCATTCACTTTAAACATAACAGGAGTCAATGGGTTTAAACTTGATTTATTTCAGAAAAGATTAGATTTTGGCCCTCTGAACAGAAACTAACACAATAGTACAGGCAGTCCCCGGGTTACATACAAGATAGGGACTGTAGGTTTGTTCTTAAGTTGAATCTGTATGTAAGTCGGAACTGGCGTCCAGATTCAGACACTGCTGAAACTGACCGCCAGTTCTGACTTACATACAGAATCAACTTAAGAACCCCAGGCGTCCCCAAGTCAGCTGCTGCTGAAACTGATCAGCAGCTGATTCCAGGAAGCCCGGGGCAGAGCAACTCTGCCTGGGGCTTCCTGTAGTCAGCGCTGGTCAGTTTCAGCAGAAGCAGACTTGGGAACGCCAGGGGCAGAGCAGCTGGGGTGCTGATGGGTTGCTCCAGTAGCGCCGCTCCTGGGTGCTACTGGACCAACCTAGCAGCACCCCATCTGCTCTGCCCCAGGCGTCCTGATTCAGCCGCTGC